CTTTAATATTTCTTATATTGATGTAAAAGAAAGGGATAATTTTTTTTTCTTCTCTTTTTCGGTTGAATTAATCTTATTTCTATTAACAAAACGAAAAAGAAACTCGGAATAGCTCAGTAGTTTCTTTACATAGTAAAGATAAAAAGCGAGGGTTTCCGAATATACACAATAAACGCAAAACACGATACACGATAGAACCTGATAAACGATTTACACGATAAACGCAAAACACGATAAACGGAAAACACGATAGAAAACGCAAAACCTGATAAACGGAAAACACGATACGATAGGATATGATAGGATACACGCACGATACGATAGGATACACGCACGATACGATAGGATACACGCACGATAGAACACGATAGAATTGTAAAGAATAACGATGCGGGTACTGTATCAAAATTCAAATTTTATAACATATTGAAATTCAACAATGTAAATTTTTTAACATTCAATGAAAAAACTGCTCAAAAATCTACAAAAAAGAAAGATTTATGAGGGACTATTTCTTTTCGTGGAAGGATATTTAGCAGAAAATTCTACAAATCTGCACATTTATAAAATATAATGTAATGGAAATTTAGCCTCATATACTTTTACTCGGAGAATATTTTCCGTTTTGATATTGCTAAAAATATTTAATATAGGTCTTAATTTATATTTTCAGACCAAGTTTCACACCTTCCCTCAATAAACTTTTCCAAAAAATGAAAATATATTAAAGAAGTCAAGGTTAAATTTACACCATTTTTTGCCTGAAAATCACATATTTTGACAAATATTTCAAAATTAACATCACTGACCCCACCTTTTTCTTTCATTATTTCAAACTACTCGATACTTGTGACTGATCAGCACTCAAGTTGTAAAAAGTTTGATATAAGAAAATTTTTTATTGTCTATTAAGTTTTTAAATACCCCAAAAATGTTATTTTTTAGTGCAAAAAGGTCACACAATAAATTATGCGCATTAATTTGCAAGATTTGTTTAATAATAAATATTATTCAAACTATTTTACGTAAAATAAGATTATATTTATTGCCATGCTTACATCTAATCAAATATAATAAGGGTTAAAGTAATTAACCAAAGAGGTGAATTTTAAGTGCAAAAAGGTCAACTTAAATGTACCTTAGATCAGTAGGATGCACACTGACCCCCTATTTTCTTTGCGATTTTGAGCTACACTTTATGAGTACTTATCCAAAATATACTTCTCAAAAAATCCTTGATATAGCAAATTTCAGGAGTGACTTACCTTAACAAAGTAATTACAGGTACAAAGATATCAAAGAAAAAAGGTCAAATTTTGCGAGACATTTGTGAGTCTATTTTTCGAGCCCGAACGAACTTAAAATTCTTTCGCGCTGGAAAGATGTAGACTCAAAAAAGCAATTCTACAGTCCTTCCTCTACCTTCACTGAAAATCTCAAGTCAATATCTTCATTCGTTTTAAGTGATTGCCAGGACGAGAGACCTTCTAAAAATCAGTAAATCAAACTTCGTTTGGGGAACATAAATAGACATTGCATCCAAGTGAACGGCCTTTTACATAACTGCAAATAATTTTATTTTTAAACAAAAGACATTTTTCATTGTACAAAATGTGACTTGATCAAACTCTCACTGTGTACACACTGCGTCATTTACGCGAGTTAACGTCACAATGACAATTGCATTGCTATCAATCCATTGTTTATATACGCAGGTACGATACGGCTTCCCGGATAATATTGCTGTATATTTTGTGCATGCACTTCTCTGAACTACATATGCATAACTTCCTAATTGAAAATGATGTAAGGTCACTGCAAACTTGAGCTGTAATAATGGGGAGAGTGTCATACACTTTACACCGTATATCAATCTGCATATAAAGTTTCAAAAAGATAGTGTAAAATAAACGTGTCTTAATCTTTCTTTTTTTTAAGTCTAATATATATGAATAACTTTGATAACTTTGTTTTATTTGCCTTGTTTGAAAGACAGGGTGTTTAAAAAACAATGTATGTCTGAAAATGTACGTTTGATGTTTGTTCTTTATTATACCCGTGGAAAAAAGCAGGATTCATAATATGTTAAGAAAAGAGCCTGGCGCAGGTGATTAATGAGGATTAAATTGAGGTCTCTTGTAAAAATTTGTTAGACAAGTTTCCCCTTAATTGAATATTGATAGGGGAAAATGTATGATGGTTCTGATTTTCAATGGATGTCATTGTTGATTGGAAAAGACCATCGGTCTGTAAGTTTTTCTGAAATATTTTGTACTATAGTCATTACATGTATATAACTTTTCCCAAGCACTTCACAAAGGAAAAAAAAATGACAGTCACGTGACCAACGAGGTCATGTGATACCGTAACAAACATGTTTATATATAGCCTAGGAAACCCTTTATATGAATTGGCCATATTTAGGTAACTAACTTAAAATTCAGAATCGACCTAGCAATGCAGTGTTCCGTTTAAAACGCATTTAAAGGAATGGGATACCAAAACATTGCAGCGTATTGCTGAGCACACTGCTCCTCAACAATAGCTACCTAACCCGCTAACCATATTTATCTGGTGCGTATACATGTAGCACATGAATGGGTTTTTTTTGCAGTAGACAGACTTGTTTCGAGAGAAGAAGTATTCTATATTATTTGAGACCCAATGTACTAATCTTCATTTCATAACCATCATCATTTCCATCTCTGTAGACTTTGCAATTTACAGTGCTCTGGAAATTACCACGTGTCTGTCAGAAAGATTCCTTCATAAAGCATATGGAAATAACAAACAGTATTCAAAATCAGAAGTCAATAAAACAATACAAATTAGGAGTAAAACATACAACGACCTCCAAAACATCACAGGTCGGATAACAATCAGAGAGTGGTATTTGTATGATCGATACTGACAGTATTTTTTCAATGAAAATTAATATCCGAATACGAAAAATGGAAAGGTTCAAAAAGTTCATATACTTAACTTTAAAAAAGTCACTTTGGTGCTACTTAAATTGTAAAAATTGTAAACAAAGTATTTCTATGAATTGACACTCAAGCATTAAGATCAATTTGATAAGAAAAAAAAATGTTCCTAGCAGATAACGTATCATATTATACTGAAATGCAAAAGAAACGCAACAACCTACTTTAGGGGGAAATGATTATGTAAAGTAAAGAATTTTGTAACTTAGAATTATAAACATCTTCAATTTTGTAAATACACAAGGTGTATCGGTAATTAAACGGATGAACGATTTTCATACCATAACCGGAAGTCAAGGCTGCTTAACAGAAACCAAAAATTTCAAGTTTACCAAAACATTTGGCAATGTGATGGAGTTTTAAGGGTTTGAACTGTTCATCTTAAGTAATGCAGCAATATAAATTAACAAAAAAAAAAAAATAATAAAACCTCCTTTCATTTCCCGTAACGATGCTAAGGATTGTTACAATGTTACAACTTGCGAAATGTAATACATTGGGATTATTACATTTTGCTTTATTACATTTTGCGTTGAAATCAACGCAAAATGTAGCAACGCATAATGTTTTAATATATTTGTTGGATTATTACATTTTGCTCGACGCAAAATGTAATAACGCAAAATGTAATAATCCAAAAATTATATTATTACATTTTGCTTATAACATTTGGCTTGATTTCGACACAAAATGTAATAACGCAAAATGTAATTTTCCCAGTTTATTACATTTCGCATTGTTATTACATTTCGCGTTGTAAAAAAGGCTTCTTGAAAATGGCTTAAGTACGCATTTACATTACTCTAGCTGGAAAATAAATGATTGTCCTAGGACCGGAAGTCCAAGAGTTACTACAGTGCGCTAAGTTAAAGAAAATTCGACCTAATCATCTGAAAAACAGGCATTTAAAAATTGGCAAAGAATAATTCCTTCGCTCAGATGTCGATATTGATTAACCTATTGTATCATAGAAATTAAGCTACAAATGGTGTTTAGGGCAGTCTTGCATGTTGTAATTGAATGTCTAGGATGGGGTGTTTTAACAGTCATATGTTACTTAGTAATGTTTAAAGACAAGCATTTAACATTTTTATCATATCTCTGATGTTCTGAAAAGTGAGTTAAGCAGTACTGTATTCTTTTTTGAAAATCATTAGATAAAAAAAAACAAACATTTGAAGATTACTGCTTGTTGCGTTTCTTTTAGGTTTCAGCATATCATTTTTCTTTTTCTTCCTGGATACTTTTTTGTCCGCGAATGATCTTGTTCATCTGATGTAGGTAAAATCTCTATAGGGTCAGTGGACATGTTTTGTAGATTTGCGGAATCAAGGTCATTTTCCGTGCACGTACTTGCAAGAGCGCCTACGTACAACATGTGAAATCACCAATTTAATAGATATTGTCATAACTTTTTTTATTATATGTTTTGAAACTCATAACATAAGTATATATTAGTTGTATAGACATCTACAGCACGACATTTAAGAATTATCATGAGAGCATGCGCATGAACGTGTGCTGCAGTCTTACTGGCTGAAACTTTAAATGTCTATAACTTTCTGGGTTCTTAACAAATTGGGATGAAATTTACAATATGAATAAGTATAATGGATTCCTACATTATACTACTATCAAACTTGAATGCAAGGACATGCAAGCATGCGCGTGCGTGCGTGAAATAGGCAAAATTACCAATATATTTGAAAAACGGTAACATTTATATCTTTATGATTTTTTATTGGTTCTCATAATATAAGGATATGTCAATGGTTTAGACAACACGCCATGTTCATCTTGCATGTAAATGAACGTGCGTGCGCGTGCAATGAGTTAAATGATATATAGTTGATATCATTGTAGTTTTTATAATTTTTTTCGTGAAATCTTTCAATACTTAGCATATTTAAAAAAATATTACAGGAATTAAGCCCAAAAAAGGAAGTTGGAGAGCGTTTGGGGAACATCTGTAAGGGTCCCCGTTACAATTAACACTAGTATTTTCTTTTGTTTAAGATGATTCAAATGGATACACGATGAGATTTTTAGGGTTTTATGTTTACATTTCGAATACAACAAACAGACTTGATGGGTATTTATGTTTTCACGATACAAACTACACCAGATCAACCATACCAGCAGTTGTAAACATAACCTGTCCTGTACACGGTCAATACGTCATCTACTACAACGTCAGACCACAGGATGCAGAACGTGCTGCTCAATTCAGCCAGTATGCTTACAACGAACTTTGTGAAGTTGAAGTATACGGTATGTTCGTTTGTTCTCTATGTATTTCAAATTAAATATGTTCAACGTATTTCAAAAAAAAGAGAAGGCAATGAATCGATCATTTTCCTTTTCGTTTATTTTCAAAGAAAGATCCAAAGAGTAAATCGATTTTTTACTCACCGCCAAAAATAGGGAATATTAATTTACGCTCAATGCGTCTATCCGTTCGTCCGTCTTTAGTTCTGTCTATTTGTAAAGCCTTCGTTTCCATGTGATATCTCAGGAAGTCTTTGAGCATTTGCAATACAATTTAACACATTAAAAACTTCTGTGACGCCAGATCATTGTTATTAGTCTAGGTATATTTAACCGATTCAACTAGCACTAGTTCGATATTTTAAAGATCCATTGGCCATTGCCTATCGGTTGGATATTTGAATACCCAACTGAGGTGCATAAAACATATAAAACAATAAACAAAAGAGATAAAACAATTTAAAAATGTATTTCCAATGCACATGTAAAAATGATATTTACTCCACATTTGCCACTCTATTAGAATTAATGTACAGTGCACACAGAATTACCGTAATAACTTTGAATTTATCACATTTATCGTGTTTCAAATGCATTTTCAATGTTCACAGAATAACAATACCCCCGAATTTTGCACACTTTTAGAACTATTTTCGGTCTTTAAATTTCGAAAGCATCACTTTTTGACACATAAATACATTTTTACTTTGAGTCTGAAACTACATCACTTCTTATTGATGAATATTAATTCAAGGTCTATTATCAGTAAATCCTTTCAGATTATCCGAGATTCATCACTGTTTCATACTTTCCGTAAGTACTTTCCAAATCAACTTAACTAATTGACAGCCCGTCTATTTTTCGATACCGTTTTTATTGCAGATCTTAATATGTCATGTTTTTAAAGCAGGTTCCGCATACATGTAACAACGCCAATCTTTTTATCTGTTTAAGCACTACTGCAAGTTTTTTTCCGAATGGAACTCCATAAGAATCCAACACTTTTCCTCAACAAACACTCATCTTATGATATGAAATGACAAATTCTCAATCTTTTAACAAAATTCTGTTGTTATCTTCGGCTTTCAGGTCACAAGTATTCAAAACACTATCTGAACCTCTCTAATTTACTTTCGATTTAAAATATTCTTCGTCTGATTTCACGACTGTTAAGTTCAATGAAAAGGTTTAAAATGACATCAGCACGATGTAGTTTCATGCTCACTAGTCCATGAATAAAAGGGGTGTTCGATTAGGCTACTATTTTGTGTCACAGTTGGATATTTAAATGGGCTACTTACTATTATGTTACAGCAAAGTTGGATATTTGAATGGGTAAATGTTTCTTTGAGGCCCAAAGTAGGGAATGTTTGAAGTAAGATAAATAACTCGATCATGTTGAATGGTTTAGAGAAATCATCCCCTCCTCGGAGAGAATGTTTTCTCTAAACTATTCAACACTATCTCTTTATTTATCCCTTATATAACTCCCTATACAGTAGATCTCTATAAAGGTCTACAGGTCCAAAATCCAGGTCATAGGTTACAAAATCTGTTTTAAAATTTCAGGTTTATACGATATCTTAAGAAACCTTTGAGCTTTTGTAATGAAAGTAATCACAACTCTCTATGGCTTTAGAAATACCCCTTTTAATTTTAAGGTCAGACGATAAAATGTCAAGGTCATAAATTTACATGTTTATACTTTTTCGTTTAGTAAAACTTACATTTGGACATCTAAAGCAGCTGCCCCTTGGGGGTCCGGGTTAGAATAGGTCCTCAATACCCCCTTGCTAGTGTAAAAGGCGACTAAATAAGGCGATCCTTCGGATGAGACCGTATAAACATAGGCCCTGCGTCACAGCAGGTGTGGCACGATAAAGATCCCTCCCTGCTCAAAGGCCGTAAGTGTCGAGCATACACCTATATTTGCAGCCCTTCACCTGAAATGGTGTCGTCTCCATATCAGTGAAATATTCTGGAGAGGGACTTTAAACAGTACACAAACAATCAATCAATCTAAAACAGCTTTTGCTTTTTTGCATTTAAATTTCATACCACGAAGAAAACTAACAAGGCGTGCTGTCATTCTGTCCGTCACTATGATCGGCTGTGTATATGTTTGTCTGTAACACTTTCGTATCCAAGCGTTATCTCGAGAAGGCTTTGAACTTTGCAATTAAATTCTACACGACAATTTCTTATGGTCGAAAGATTACGCCTTATGATTGTGAAGCCTTAACTAAGCCTTAATCATTTTTTTTTTATTTTGACAATATACATGTATAACGTGTAAACATGTATACAAGATTTAAGTAATCTAATGTTTGCATTCAATTCATCACTATATCTTATTCTTCTCTAGCCAACTGTAAAGAATCTTGCTTAGTATACCAAATGTCCATGGCTCAGATCACGGCTAAGCCTTTCTTTTATTTACTTACTTACTTACTGACTTAGGCCTGTCGTTCCGTGAGGAACATAGGCCATCAACGACAGTCCTCCAACGAACACGATTTTGAGCTGCTCTGGCTGCATCGTGCCAGGTCATATTCTGTGTCCTTAGCTCCGACTCCAGGTGTTTCTAGGTCGTCCTCGTTTTCTTTTGCCCTGTGGGTTCCAAGTCAGGGCCTGGCGTGTAATGCTGGATGGTGGCTCCCTTAATGTGTGTCCAATCCAGCGCCACTTCCTCTGTCTTATTTGTACCTCCATTGGTTCCTGCGTCCACGTCTCTGCACCATACAGTAGGACGGACTTTACATTGGAGTTGAGGATCCGCAGTTTGGTGGTAGTACGTATGCTCTTTGAGGCCCAGATGTTCTTTAAAATGGTGAATGCAGTCCTAGCCTTGCCAATTCTTGACTTGATGTCGCAGTCTGTGCCACCGTGTCTGTCCACCACACTCCCCAGGTAGATGAAGAATTCAACTTCTTTGATGGCCTCACCACCAACTGTGACTGGTGTTTAGACAGTGGTGTTTATCTTCATCAACTCTGTTTTCCTCAAGTTCATTGTGAGGCCCGTTCCTGCCGATTTTGTTGCAAAATGGGTTGTTTTATCCTGCATTTGGTTTTGGTTGTGTGAAAGGAGAGCCAGGCCATCTGCAAAATCAAGGTCGTCGAGTTGCGTCAGGAGTGTCCACTGTATGCCATTGTTCCTGCCTGCTGTGGTTGTCCTCATGATCCAATCAATGACCAAGAGAAAAAGAAATGGTGACAGCAAGCAACCTTGTCGGACACCTGTCTTGACCTCGAAACTCTCAGACATCTGCCCAGCATGTGTAACTCTGCATATCATGCCTTGGTAGGTGTTTCTAATCAGGGAGACTAGCTCTGGGAGCTTACTTACTTTACTTACTTAATGACGATATTCAACATCTGGAATGAAGAACTTATGACGTCAGACGGATACAAACTATTCTATTGTGTGATAAATATGTTATGGTAAAGATTCTTTATACATGTACATCAATTTATTGAATAGACAGTCAACTCTTTTAGTTCACATTTGCATTTGTTTTGCCTAAGTGCATAATTTAATTTTGAGTTATTCAGCAAATCTCTGAAAGGGAGGGGTTGACACAAAAATCTAAACATCCTATTCTTTTTTTTTTCCCTCAAGCGGCGGGACTAATTCTCTGAATTACTTTGTTTTTATATAGATTGGACGGTCTTTCAACTTACAGTCCAAGATTATTTTGAAAAAGTTCTTATATTTATTTTGGTGCACCCCCTATAAAGTAAAATTTAAGGGCATATAGTGTTTGCACTGTCTCTTCAGCTGTATGTCGCTTTATCTATTTGTTCCCAGAAGTTACATTGCTATTAAGTTTTGATTAGTAGGACCTATAGTTTTGGCATGGAAATAAATGACCTCGTAATAATACCAATGGAGTTTACTAAAATTCTAAAACGAATTACCAAACTTAAACCAAGATCATAATTCTGGAAGAATTAATGCAAGGGTTATTACATTTTCTTATGTTCAGTTAGAGTAATTTGACCTTTCCATTAAGAAGAATATGGAGTTAACGTACATTATTAAATATTTAAGCCCATTAAACAATACAAAATAGGAGCAGAGCAAACACAGACCTTCGAAAAACAGAGGTGGGATCAGGTGCCATGGTAGATCGAGCATTCCCAGCTAACCGGTCACATCCGCCACGTGCACCTTGTCATAATCAGGAAATAACGGAAAAATCCGTCGACAATTCAGTGTATAAATAATGGACTAACAATAAGTAAGAAAACCGTCAGTCAGCATAGAACTTACGAAATGATGAATTTGCAAGAGACTGCTGATATTCTTATTTTATCAACTTGCTTGTAATTTACCTGGTTTTAGAAATTGTTCAGATGCAGATAATGCTCTTGCGTATCGAATCAACAGAGATAGATACACCTCGTATGCAGGTGATGAATGTATACTGCAGCAAAAGTAAAGGGAATAGACTAAAGAAAAGTTGAATTCATAACGTTTATCGTATAGCTTGGATGTTAGATATCTATTAACGTCTGTTTGAGGTTAAATAACCAAGTTTGCAACAGATGTGTTAAACTCTGTAGTATCTTTTATCTCAGCTCACTAGGAAATATCGTTTCAACATAGGAATATATATTACCATTGTTAATTGACAATACGTCGTCGATATATATAAATTTCGAGTTGAAGGCCACACAAAGTTTTTTTTCTTGTAATATACAAGATATTTCCCAGCCTTTTTACGTTGTCCTTGTACATTGATCTACTTTAAAAAGACTACATCATTGAAAATATTTTTTTGAAACAATCAGGCTACAGGCCCTCTTTTTTTTACAAGTGTATTCCACGTGAAACGTTCTTCTTTTACTATCAACTAATGAACTTTTCGGACCGTCACGACCTTCAAGTTTGACATACTTAAAAAAAATAGCACCTTACTTCTGAACAGTGCTTAGTGTTGATGTTATATATATATATATATATATATATATATATATATATATATATATATATATATATATATATATATATATATATATATATATATATATATATATATATTACTTCACATGTGTGTTTTTATTACAAGTCATATCTTAGGTAAGTTTGGTTTGACTGTTTGACCTTGATGATATTTTTGTTCTGCTAATCAATGGTGCTTATTAGATTATGGCTATCAAAGATACATTCATCGTAAACATATTCTTTCTCAGTCAACTTTTCCCAAACCCCTTTGTACAGGGGCATCAATGTTTAAAATGTTTAAAAAAATCAATTTTGGCTACAATTGATTACCAACTGGATTCTTATAACGATGTTGTAAGAAATTATTTTTTTTCTTCATATCTCTATACTAAAATGAAGACATTTTAAAAAGTTAAAAAAAAAACACTTTTAGGTTGTATCGAAACTGGAGTGTATGGACCAGACTGTTCCATCCCCTGTCCCGATAGAAACTGTCGTTATTGTCACATAGAAACAGGTGTTTGTCAGGGATGTAAACCTGGGTATCAGGGACATCAATGCGAACTACGTAAGTTTCAAAGTAGATTATTCACCAAAAATATTTAAATAAATTTTACCAACTGCAAAGTTCAATACATTTCCTAAAGGAATATTTCGTTCTTTTTTTTTCAAAAAATAAATATTTACAATTACTAATCAAAATTAGAAGAAAAGTAACTCGTTAGGAGATTGTTTGCTTTTGTGCAGCCTTTTCTTGAGTTTCTGAACTTTTGAAAATGAGGAAAAAATTTATCAAAACTGATGTAATTTAAATTAATTAAGAGAAGAAGCGAGAGATAAAAGAGTTTGAGATTCATATATTCTAATCATCTCCGTTTATCATTTAGCTTGTAGTCCTATGGTCTATGGAGAAATATGTTCTATGACATGCGGTAACTGTAGTGGGGAAAATACGTGTCACAATGTCAACGGAAGTTGTACAAACGGATGTGACGTCGGAGTTTATGGGGATAAATGTAAAACACGTAAGTACTATCACGGGTGACAAGAAGAGTCTTTTTCTTCAACTAGTACGTTTTTTTCAATACCATTTTGAATTTTAATTTTGAAAAAAAGTCCCTAATGTTTTCCAACTAATTTTAGCATGCCCCATTGGTTGGCATGGACAAAACTGTTCTGATATGTGTAGTAATTGTAATGAATGTGACAGATTCTCTGGACAATGTGAATCTCCTTGTTACTCTGGATGGAAGGGACTTTTTTGCAACAATGGTAATTCTGATCAATATAAATGTCATAAATAGCATAGTTTTAATTTTAATTCACTGCGTTATTATGCAAGATGTAAAAGCCATTCATAAAATATATTAAGCATTAGACATAGTTGTACCTTAAATAGCATACTGAAAGACAAAAAAAAAAACCTGCAACAATAAATTGAGTGGAAAATATAATTATAAAATTTAGACATTCTGTCTGTGTGTACACTATCATTTCGGGCGATATTTCAAGAAGATTTTGAGCTTATGCAATGTAATTATATACCAAGTCTACCTAGGACCTTTCTCACCCCTCTCAAAGTGCCCGCCCCGTTTGTTTTATTAGTATTTATAGTATTACATATCTCGCTGTTTTTAGCACAGGGGCATGAGAAGAGTTATTGCGTATAAAACGGGTTCTCGGCGGACTTTATGTTCTTATTACATCTTTTAGAAGTGTTTAATAAAGGCTAAATAAATTAAACACCATGGATTGTGTAAGATTTTGATAATACCGAACATGAATATATACATGTATGTGACGTCACTTCTGCATATATTTGACTCCCTGTGAGGCGATTCCGTGGTCTAGTGGTAAAATGTTTCTCGCTTCCCTTCGAGAGGTACCGAGTTCAAGTCTAGGACTCACCATTTTTTTTTTAGAAATACTATTTTTTACTTAATAATAGTATTAGGCATGCGAAATGAAAAAAAAATTCCACGTCTGGCTTGTACAAACTCATAAAATCATCATTACAGTGTGATAAATATTCCTTATAAAAAGAATCTTCTATACACATAGTAAAGAATAAGCAATTTTAAAAATCTTTATGTCCATAATGGTACATTTTAATTGCTTCAGTATATGCATGCATTCAATTAATAATTCTACAAATTTAGTGAGGGGGATCCTACTCCCCCCCTCCCCCCGAACTGCGCATGTTTTACTTAATTTTCCTTAAGCGGGGGACACAAATTCTCTGAATAACCTTGTTTAATTGTGCAGACTCTTCTTACTGTACACGCTTGGGCTAGGATGTTGAAATGGTAGCAATGTTTTTTTTTTCTTTATCATTATTAAACATATTTCTCCACAATAGGTACTTCACGTATCCATAAATTGGCGTATTAAAAATATAGCGTAATCACTAGGCATGGAGTAGTTGGTGTTATCATGAATCAGCGCTACAATTATCTATGTCATATATTGTATTTATAAATGATTTCTAGTAGTATTAATAAATTAGCTAATCTTTGACATGCCAAACCCGCTAAATTATGAAGCCTACTGTTGAAGTACTCTTACAGTATTTAATTAAATAAGTAAAATAATTGGATTCAATAGAATGCAGCGGTGGTGGATATGGTCAGGCCTGTGAACAGAAATGTGGAGCCTGTCTGGGATATAAACAATGTCACCACATCAATGGTTCATGTCTTGAAGGATGTGACCCAGGATTTAAAGGAGATCTTTGTAAAACGGGTGATAATTTAATAACTGCTAGCATTTTTCTTATCATCGGTCGTGTTATTAAACGATACGTGTGCACTTTAGACGACAAACGCCATGGACATTAGAAAATATATATTTTAGGTTGTTCATCTGGAAAATTTGGTATCAACTGTAAGCAGACTTGTAATAAAAACTGTGGTGTACCATATCAATGTAACAGAGCGACAGGAAAATGTGAGGGTGGATGTCAACCAGGCTGGGAGGGACCTCGATGTTATCAAGGTAAAAAAATATAGGTCAGAAATGTATAATGACCATTGTGCTTTTAATTTTTCTTATAACATTCAAGAATGAAAAAAAGGAGTCAAGTGTTATTCTTTTTCAGTATGTAAACAAAATAAGTACGGTGAAAACTGCTCTCATTCATGTGGATTCTGTCAGGACTCAAACTGCCACCATGTGAATGGTTCGTGTTCAGGAAAATGTTCGGATGGATATCAAGGAACCTTATGCAATGAACGTAATTCAACTTTTATAATGAATATAAAAAGGCATAAGTATGACCACGGGAATTTTTTTCTTTAAATAAAATCTAATAAAACATCAATATACCTTTTCTTGGATTTAATTGAAAGGAAAATCTTTTGTTTTTTTTTTCATTTCGCAAAGTTTTCTGTATTTAAAATGAACATCTTACCTTTGATAACAGAGTGTAAGACAGGATTTTATGGAGAAAATTGCAAGAGAGAGTGCAGTATTTTCTGCAAGACATCACGTGACTGCAACCACGTGACAGGCAATTGTAATGAAGGATGTATCGGCGGATGGCAGGGTGCTATGTGTTTGCAAGGTTAATACTTTTTTATAGTCTAGATAATGTTTTTACTGCATTGCAAAAAAGAAATGTTTTGCAATATCAATATATCTGTGAAACATTTGATTTAATTTTCTTTATGCAGTTGCAGAGAAAAAGGATGATGCTGATTTTCAGTCAAGATTTTATGGTGTTCTTGCCGTTCTCTGTGTTTGTCTGATAATAATCGCAATTTTGATTGCTTATATATGTTTCTATAGGTAAGGTGTCTTTGATAAATATTGGCAAACATTCTCTCTCTCTCTCTCTCTCTCTCTCTCTCTCTCTCTCTCTCTCTCTCTCTCTCATATTTTAAAATCTATAATTTTGTGTACAAAAAATGACGATTCTTTCAAATATATTTAATACATTCATGAAGATGGAATATGAAAGGAAAACTAAAGAAACTAAAGTATAAGGAAGATAAAGAGACAAAGCCAACAACATTTAACATGGACATTATCTCTAATAAAATTGACGAAGACGACAAGAACGGATACCAAGAGCTGGGTGAACTGGCGCTACCATCAGATTATGATCGAATATGAACTTTTGAATATTTTAAAATATTTTAAGGTTATACAATTAAAAAAGTCATTTCAGATATAAAATAAATACAATAACATACCTGTAACTCTGGTATGCTGACTATATTTTTTACCTTGTATCTTGACTCAATAACTGTGAAAAGTGTCAAAACTCAAATACATTAAATACTGGAAATATATCTGAAACTAATAAATATACATTTAATCCAGTAACTACTTACTACTCTAATTTCAGGGATTTTTTTTACATAAGTGTATGTGTAAATTAGGGTATGTCATTCAATTTGTAAAATGACTTCTTAATTTTTTTGTAATTGTCCGAAAGGAATGGCTAAATATCCAATATCAATATCCAAAATGAGGGGAAAACCTCTTCGCTACAGTGACGTTACAATGAAGAATACAATTATAAAATTCTTTTCAACTACAGGAAAGAGAATATAAACACTTCGAAAACGTCGGTACCAGTTTCAATGTATACTCTCTTAAAGAAAACGTCATAGAATTGCACAAAAGAATTATAAAATAGAATAAAATAGATAAAAAGTTTTCAGTTGTACTTGCATTTACAGTTTGCAAATCTAAGTTTCTTACAATTTTTTTTACCAAAACTGACAAGCAGCATTCTTTCATAAATTTCAGATATAAAGTCAGTAAGAAATGATCCATCGTACCTTTACTGAAGTGATACAAAAGAAAGACATGGTAGTTATGATGAAATGATTTTATAAAATGTTAATCATGAAAACTAGCTCTAAATACATTTTGTAAAACGTGACCAAATTTTGAGAGGAAAATTAGCCGATATTACTATAGACACGATTTATTTTAAATGAACAGGAAGGATATCCAAAAAAATATCACTGGGCTTTTTCGAAACACATCTTTTTTACTCGTCTCTGCCTTTTAAGTACATATGTACCAACTCTTGCCTCTAATGCACTTTTATGGACGACTGTACTGATCAACTTCTAAAACCGTTTTGTTCAAATCTTCATTAGGAATATCAACATACAGGTATGATAATAAATTATAGACCAAGGGTAAATCTTGATTGCGATTGCGTGGACCCTGCGGTCCACGCAGTAAATATATAAGCGAAGTTAAACCGGATGCCCTGGGCAAACGACAGGCTACGCATGCGCGCAAATGCTAGAGAGTTCGCACCTTAGATAACTTGTCCGTAGAATAATTCGCCCTATTCGAATTTAAATATGCCATTCATTGGCAAATCGCGCTTTTAAATCTGCACATCGCATTTACATATTCATTGGCAGATCCGATTTCCTCTCTTTTACATATACTTTTATACTAAACATTGATTCTTAGTACAAACATTTTAAGAAGTTACAGCATATAGATACATGTAACTTAACAACATGAATGAGAAACGTCACTCAACGAACAGAGATACATGTAGTTTATAAAGCTTTGAAAGTAGAGCAAGTTTTCACCGGCATTAGTTTTGTGCATCAAGACTCGCAAAATAATTTAATATTTCAGCAATCTAATTATCGTTTGATAAAGGTCTGTAGCAAGGGCTTTTAATGTGTGTGTGTGTGTGAGGGTGAGGGTGTGTGTGTGTGTGTGTGTGTGTGTGGGGGTGGGGGTGGGGGCTTCGACAAAATACAAAACAAACTGCGATGTACAGAGGTGTGCTACACGTGAACCATCAGATCTCCAGATCTCTCAAGATTGCTAATCGGAGATAAAAAGTCACATTTGTGCTTTGAGACTACGATCAGTTATAAGTGGCAGATAATTTTAGAATAAGTGAACAAACCTTACATGAATATTCCCTACACCTAAAAATTTTCTTAATTGAATTTCAGTTAGAAAAAACATGCATATGGTCCACGTATTGCAGTCCTTTTTTAAAGGACAGCAACTTGTTTGTATCCATTTCCATATAGGGGTAAATTTAGTTAAGGAAAGAAAAGAATGAAGTCGCAGGCGCCTAAATCTGTAGAAAAAAAAAGGTGAGGAGGAATGGGTCAATTACGCTTTTTCGTCTCTCAATTATCGACCACAATGCTTTTTTTTTCGTGCAGGTGTACTGTCGTGTACAAGTTGTAGATTCTTCATATTTATTTAGAAGGGATGATTGTTGTACCGGGTACTTTAAAATATTCTATAGATGTTTCATGTCACTTTTCGTTCTGTGTCACAGGCAATTACAAGAACAGACCTTCACACATGTAATTGAAGTTATAGAATCTAGAACATGAACCCTTCAAGGCTCATTTACTTTTAACAAGTCTAGGACATCGCAATTTGCGATTGTAAGATTATATTTAAACCTGTTCTTTTTGGTCCAAAAATAGTATTCCCATGTTTATCCATCAGTTAAAATATTATTTTAAAAGGTTGTTTTATGCGAATTTTTGATACAATTTAAATATATATTTTTTTCCTTCATATTTTGAAACACACACACACACACACACACACACACACACTCTCTCTCTCTCTCTCTCTCTCTCTCTCTCTCTCTCTCTCTCTCTCTCTCTCTCTCTCTCTCTCCTATTGCTTTCTAACCTAATGAGATCGCATTTGGAGTTAATCTTTCAAAGCCTGTAGTTTTAAAACAAAATAAAGAATATATTAATACGTGTTTATGAAAAGGTTTTTTTTTTTCATCAGAGCCAGTTGCCTCACAGAATGTCTTGCAGATACTTGCAGGACTTCGTGGATTCATACGTTGACATTGTTAGCTGTAATTGTTGCAGGGTTATCTTAGCTAGAAGCATTTCGAGAAGTTTGTAGCCTGTTAATTTTCAATTTGGCAAACCACAGCCCGATTGATGCAATGCCTATACTTATCACAGCTCCAGAGCATTCCCATGAAGACAGCTTGAATAGTAAGGGGACTACTGATTGATCCTGCAGGACACGTGTTTGCAATACCACAGCTATATTTTTTATAATTTAGAGGCATAATCATATGTTTGCCAGAAAGGGTGCAAAATGCGCACGTTTTTGCAAATTCAAATCTATCTCAGAGGAGAATGGAGATATTGTGTGAATCCTTGTCTTCAGAGTTGAAAAAACAAAATACATACATAAGTAAATTTGCTGCGTGTTCATACGACAAAATTTACTCACGAGAACTAATAATTTGCGACAACATGTATGCAAAAGTTAATTTGCACCTAGTCCTGACTAGGTGTAAATTTACTCAACTGTGCAGTATTTACATGTGAGCAAATCAGTTCATACGACAAAAATTGCACATATGAATAAATTTACATATGAGTAAAATATACTTAGGTATGCAAATCATGTCATATGAATGGGGTATAAATTATTACTTGTCGGAAATGCAATATAAAATCCGGAAATAAAATGCAGCAAAAATTGGTAAACCCCCCCCCCCCCCCCCCCCCACTTACCCAAAGAAACTAATACATGTAGTACATGTACACACTTCGATGCTCGATTGAACACTCTAATCGGCACAAGATTTAGAAATTCAAATGTTTATAAAAAGGAAACTTTATTGACGCATAATAATCTTTGCCAACCTTTTTTAAATTTTATTTTATTTATTTGACGACCTGCGAATAAATAAAAACTGTCGCGTATGATAATTGATCAACATTATAATAGATTTCAACATTAGCCCTGACCAATACTTACCCAAACAAACTTACCAATTGACATTCTCGACTTTGAAGGAAAAAAAAATGTATCATTAATGTATCACAATGATAGGAAATTTAATAATCTCTTTTAATCCAAAAACATGAAAGAATGGCTTGAAATATTTGTATGCAACTACACGGCTTTCTAAGGAGAATTTGGCATTTGTTAGAAAAAATTCTAATTATTCATTTTTTTTCTCTCGTATTCTGAAAGCTCGGAATGTAAATATTGTGGGCGCTTTTGCGTGTAAAACAGCATGTACTAAGATACAATCATGTACCCGAGATATCGTGTCATTGTTATATTCTTTTTATTCGAGGAAATAAAAACATAAGCATCTTATTCGATAAAATATACTCTTCAAAAAAAGAAACGCATCGTAGAATTTCAGTGACAAATTGAACATAAAGATTATTTATTAAAATGATGCATTGATAAAACAGAAATGTGGTAAGCCACAGGAATACTATATAAATATTAAAAATACTCAACAATTTTAAAATTAAAGTCAGTTTAAGACCATTAAAGATCAATATCTGATATACCCCCCGCAGATACAAATGATAGCCACAAACGGCATCTAATGGAAGCAAAAGTGTGTAATAAAAACTGCATAGGAATTCTCTCTTACTTTAAATGAAGACCTTTGGTGAGCTGTTGCAGAGTCTGGGGATGCGATTGTCTTTGGCAAATCATTTCAATCCATTTTGTCCAATGCTGCTTAATTTGGATTAAATCTAGCAATTTAGATGACTGTGGCTGAAACAGGTTGTTGTTTCTTTGCACCAATAGGTGTGTCAAACTAGCCATATGTGGCTGTGTATTGTGAGATTGCAATACAGTTCTAGGATGTTGCAAACTTGAATGGGTATGTGTAGGTAGAACATGGTTACAGTACCCTTTTCCACCAAAGTCCAACGAATTCGAACCAAATCAATCTTACTTTCTTAAAATACCGTTTCCCATATCATTACACTACCACCACCAACTTTTTTTTAACGTCTAACATTCATAACAAAGCATTAGCACTCTTAAACTTATAAGAGGTTTTCAGATAAACATTCTGGACTAGTAAGTTGACCAAAATGTTCAGCAGTGATGCTGTAGTCATACTCTATTGATCTGATATCTCTGAAGCCGATATTTGGGGTGTTGTGGGGTCGGAATAATCCTCTTGCAATAATTCGTAGTCAACTGAAAACGGTCTTGTTAGATGATCTGTGCAGTTCAGGGATCGCTAATGCTTTAGATGACGTCCTTGCATTACATTCATGCAATTTACGTAATCCTCGGAAGTGATGCTGTGCTGCTGATGTCACACGTAGTCTACCATATTTTTTGCGAACATTAGGTGTTCGATGTTGATGGTTTATGTTTTATAGGTTAGATATGGTCTGTGTGTAACATTAAAACCTCTTGCAATTGTAGACTGCAGTACCCCTTCTTCCAGTCGCCCATTTTCCTTTTTGTACCACGCAACATTCAGATACAGCATTTTT